GTGATACATCGAAGCACGCAGAAACACACGTAAATGTGTGGTATTCTCGGCTCCTGGAAGGCATCCATCCAACGTCTCATCCGAGTGGCTCAGCAGAAAACAGCTCCAGCTAAAAAAAGAAGAATCGCGCGCACACACACGCGCACGATAAAAAAGAGACCTTTTGCGATGGTTCATTTTCGAAAATTTGCCAGTCTGGCTGTGAAGTAGCAGTCTTCTGCGGCTCTGAGGAAGAATGGACGAGCTGCAGCGTGCTCACATCCGGCAACGGCTCAATGACCACCGGCTCGTCCTGGGGAACAGGCGCTGGCTCGCTCTGCCGCACCGCCGGCGTCTCATCGCTCCCCCTCGAGCAGCAGCACAGCAAATACATCATCTGTAAAGCTCCCATCCAAAACAGTGCCTTGCAATTGGCGCAAAGAAATACGCAAAAACAAGCATGTGGCCTTCTCCCTCTCTCATCGCTGAAGACAAACGCAAGTCCGCCCCCTCCCCGATCGTCGGCTGCGCTCATAGAGCGGGAACGCGACCGGCCCAATGCACTGCCCCTCCGAAGTGGGCATTAATGCAAATAGTCATCACCGATGCACAACGCAGCTTCGAAAACACCAACGACAAAACGGGACAGCCCCATTAACGGGGGGAATTCATACAGAACTCGACTTTTGCATCGCAGTCTGCCACGCTGCAGCAGAACACGTCGGATCGGGCCGGGACGAGTACGGCACCGCGGTATTGCATCAGGAGACGAAGCTCCGAGACTCAAACAGATAGCAAAAGGCACACCTGCAAGACAGTACACCCTTCAGGGAGCGGGACCTCGTCCAACCAGCGCTGAGCGATTTCTTCAGGCTCGGCCAGACGGCGGCAAACCACGCCATCCCACAACCACAATGACTCGGCTCGTCTCATACACGAGCTGCAAAAAATTCGATGGTGCTTGGGGAGCGCATTGACATCTCTACCAGTGTTATTTCACGGCACTGCTTGCCGAACGGCTTGGCACTTTACCAGTAGGATTTGTCTTACAAAAACCCGTCTTCAGTAAGTGGTTCACGCATTTATGAGGTTTATGCTTAGGTGAGTCTGGGGGCGAATAAGTCTGACTGGATTTGCTGGAGCTTATGCTTAGGTGAAGCTGAGGGCAAATAAGTCAGATTGAATTGCACAAGAATTGCAGACAATTCCACAGTGTTGCCTCTCGCAGCTTGCAACTGTGCACACAGTAGTTATACCTTTGCTTTTTTGTCTCCAAAACTTCACAGGAACAAAGGCTGATTTCGTCCCCAGGCATCCGTTCTACCTTGTTTTTGCCCACTTCACGGAACTTATTCGTTGTCAGCATTACCTAAGCATTAGTTTCATAAATAGAAAAGTCTGATGACGGGTTTTTATGGAACAGCTTTACCTAAGCATCAGTTTCATAAATAGGAAAGCCTCAGTTTCATCAATAGGAAAGCATCAGTTTCATAAATAGGAAAGCCTGATGACCAGTTTTTATGGAACAGCTGTAACTAAGCATCAGTTTCATAAAAAGGGAAGTCCCCTATTGATGACGGGTTTTTATGGATCATTTTCCACTAGCAAAACCCCAGTTTCTTTCGCTCTTATTCACAAAATCAGACTTACTTTAATTTACTTTTACTTGTGTGTGCAGTGTTGTTTTTTTCTCTTTACTGCTGTCTCTAGTTCTTGCCTCAAGTTCCTGACTTGCATCCTCATTCCCCTTCCCCACCCTGTCCCAAGCTCTATTAGCAAACAAGATATAGACCCTCTCCATCCCTACTATAACAGCACTGTTCAT